TCTGGTGCGCCAGTCATCCAGCTGGTTAAAAGCTGGCTTGGAGTGGAAGGTAGAAGCGTAGTAGAAGCCACTGAGTCGCTGAGACGGCAGCTGGAGTAACTTGAGGCTAATATTATCACGTGGCCCGTGACCAAACACTATGCGGGTGGCTCTTGTCTGAACGTGTACGCTAGACGTTGGTCGGTCTCCAGATGGTCCCCAGATCAGGTTGCAATATTCGGTAGCCCTTGTGGCTGCTCGGTGGCACGCTGTCAACTTCATGTCGATGTTAGCAAGCACATCGAAGTCCGTCGCCAGTTTCGAATACCAGGCTCGGCAAGGCTCGGTTTCGGGTAGGCTGTTCACGTAGATGGGGAAAAGTAAACGGTTCAGGACTGAGCTTGTGAGACCGCACTCGTGAGCCATGCCCACACTGATTGATTTCCTGATGTAGCACTTGCGACTTTTTCAATCAAGAAGTGTCGATTCCGTACAACAGGGATGCCAAAGACGTTGTGGGAGAAATGTTTCGTCTTTTTAATATTGAGCTGAACATGTTTGAAGTGGCGAATCGTGAGAGATCAACATCTTTGGTGATGCTGAATCTCGAGTGCTGCTCTTTTCAGTCTGCACTCCACCAAGTTGAGGCAACCAAATCACCAAGTCGAGTTGGGGTGAACGCCAGCCCGAAAGGGTCAACAAGGAGACAGATTGCCTAATCCTGAATCCTGTTGATAGAGAGGACGGAGCTTTCATGCTTTTTTTGTTTCGTTGTTCTCTTAGACCCCGCTTATAAAACGTTTTGGGCTGAAATGGTCAGTACAGAGCTATGAGAAGATAGCATAAGGTGCAGGCATTGGACACTGTGAACCACTGACGGTTCGATTCAGTGAGTAAGCCAGTTAGTGGGACGGTAGTATGCCGATCGGACAATTCGCCCTGCCGCTCAAACCGTCACCGGGTTATAGCCTCGTTGATGGTTTGTCCTTTCACACCAAATCATCATCAAGCCATCACCCCGGAGAGGGTGCAACTAGTCCTAAGAGGACTTGCACTGATCACCAGTTGTTTGGTGGTGGTGACCACCAGCCCGGAAAAGGAAGCATGAGAAGGATGCCAATGACTAAGGCTAGTTGCGATGCCTTTGTAATAAAAATTGTCTACATTTTGACTACCTGACTTTACCTAGGAAGCTTGGTGCTGTCCTGTTGTCAACCAACTTTCTCCCTGAAGAGCTTGGACGTTTTCCCACGGTGCAACCATATCGCATTTCGATTGATTTGAGCATTATCGTGCTCGGTTGCATAATTTAATTACTTAATAGCAGAGTTAACTCGAAATGATGCTGCTAGCTAGACTCGAAGTGGATAATGCTATCCATGACCATGGATAAAGCACATGGATATGGATGAGCACATGGATAATCAATTCTCAAAGTTGTGAACATTGCCGCTGCGTGTTGCGCATGGTCGGTGGCAACCACCTTTGTTGGTTGAAGTACAAGACCCTGAGACATGAACTGGACCTGGTTGCCGTAGAACAAGATCAGTAGCATGGGGTTTACATCATACATTCGTCATGAATTGGTCTTTGATGCCGAGAAACTGCCTGTGAGTAGTGTATTATGCCTGCTGGCCCTCCGACGTGTGGCTGCGCCGAGCCAGGCATCATCCGCGGTAATGGGGTCGGGCATCCACCTCTGACCCGGCCGGACACCTGTTTGCTGGCCCAGGTCCAGGTTATTGTTTGCCGAACGCCCGACTTCACAACAACACAATTAATGTATACGGAGTATCTGGCGCTGTCTCTTAAGCTTTATATCACCAGAATTATGCTTGATCTTTGTATCTTATTTTGTCCTTTGTGATTCCTCCGATCATTCTCATGAGCTTAAGTGGGCCGATCCTGGCTGTAGTGCAATGCCAGGCCAACCCGCGGCAGGGCTGGAGCAAGCTCCAAAAACCCCGCCAAAGTCCAAAAATCAGTTTAATATTCTGGTCCCCATGTAGGGGACGTATCAGATATTAAGCTGATAAGAACAGATACTACACTTTGATCTTAGCCAAAAGGCCGAGAAGCGATACTTAAGCACTGCATTTTCAGATACTTATGCACTCAAAATGTATCTTTAATGTCTAGTATTCATTCAAGGTCAAATTCGTCATACAGCGTGTACTTAACAACGTCACTAAGACCATTCATTTAACCCATAACGCTCGAATCTATTTGGGTTCCCCCACAGCTCCACGCGTATCTCTTTCAAATTGCTTTGAGGTATCTCAAAATATCTGCGATATTGTGTCGCATTCCCGAAGTTATTCTGTCGGTTTGTGGAAGCGGACGTCAACGTCCACCGATGATTCGCCTTTATCGTCCTATGTAGGAGGGACGACGGCGCCCGATCCCATGGTCTCTAGTGTAGTGACCTTTGACCTGACCTTGGTGTGATACATAGTTCTTAAATGCCTATGTTTCCATCTATGTCGTCATGTAACTGAATGTTCCATTTGTGTTACTACTTCGTCGCTACCCACGTCTGAAGTCGAGCGATGTCCCTGTTAGGGCCTCCACCGTAAGGTTGTCTGCAGAAACCTCGTCTACTGCTCACCAGATGGTAGCACCATCACCAGCCTGCGGCGTGTGACCCTCCGTGTACCCGTCCCCACACCGTGTGTCGTCACACACTGTGGGAGGAGCCTGTTACCACTCAGTCGGCGGACGGCGGCAGCCGGTGTCGCACGTGCTGCTGCAGTTGTGACTAGGGGGCCGACTCCACATGCGTTCCTCGGACGGTGAAGAGCTTGAATATCCCAATCCGGGCTCAGTCCTTCGCCGGTAGCTGCAGAGCAGAAACAGCGCCTTGCGATGATTGCAACCCTCCGACATGCATGCTGTGATTGCTCCTCTTACCCTTTTCGCCTTGCCAAGGTATCCTTGACACCCAAGCTCTGGAAGCTGTTCGACGGATACCTTGTGTTCTTAGGCGACATGTTTAGGGCTCAGTTGCAAATTACAAGAAGTCGGTACCTTTTCACTCGAGAAGTTTGACTCACGAGACGAGGTATGAGGGTTGGTCATTGATTCGACCTCATGTGTGCCACTTGTTAGGCCATGAGCTGTTTTACAGGGAAGAAGTCGGGTGAATGCAATTTTTCTCCATCATGGAAATGTGTGGTTTTGTCTTGATGGTACTTCAAGATCAATGAACCGTCGATGGGGAATGAATATTCATGCAACCAACTCTAAAGCGAAACTTTTACAAAAGTCGCGCAACGCGATCTGCGCCTGCAGAGGCGTTCGACATGTTGGCATCTCTGGATGATCAGCCTGCAGAGGCGTTCGAAATGTTGGCATCTCAAGATGATCAGCGACAGGTTACGTCCACGACGCAGATGATGAGCTCACGGTCTGGGCGGTGCGCAGATAAGGAGCAGTCACTACAGTTCTTGGTCACAGTCTAGGTGAGCTCCTTGAACACCAACGACTAGTACTTGGTGACTACAGCAGAAGGGCGCTGTGCTCATCGCACATCCGTTAGATTGCTGCATATACATTTCGACTAGGTGAACCATCACCAGCCAATCGGGTCGTCGCCACAACCTTCACGCGAGGCCAGTGAGGACTTGGGAACTGGGTGTTTTACCACTGGGGTCATGTGAAACTGACTTACAAGCGTAAATCTCGAGACATCTCGGAACTAAAACCAGCAGCAACAGAGTGTGTCAGCGAGGAGTGAGGGATGACCGTCAAGAATCTTGAGTACTACTAGTTCTTGCAGAAGGTAGGCTTCGGGTGGAGGTCAGTTGGCGTAGTAGGCACACTTCAAATGTATTGTAACAGAAATGAAGCATTGTCGGCAACGCGTTTCTTGGTTACTGCGGCCATCGCTGTGTTACCCATTCTTGAATCTGCATTTACTTTTTCTTGCCATTCTTGTATGCTATAGGACGGAGCTTGAAAGAAGAAATATATGTTTCGTTTTGTATTTACCGGACGTCTTTTTGTTGTTTTTTGTCAGTGGACTCACTGGATTAAGTCCGCTGTGTCACAGGTCTTTAGAGGTGGTAAAGGCGACCTCACGGAAGTGAAGGCCTCAATGTATGCACCACCGAGACAGCGCAATGGTTTTCTATTATTGTTATCAACTTTAAAGACGGACCAGCTGTTGCAGCCTTTCCTTGTACATTGCCTGCTCATATAACGTGTTCACCCTGCCAGTGGATTGTTGTTTAAACGCGAAACTATGTATTTTTCAAGAACTTGGCAATGGAATCGTGTTGCTGTAACTTTTCAGTATTGAGTGTGATACGAGCAGTCACTCCTATCGTTTTGTGTGTGAACTGTGATACTTTTATTTTTTGTCGCAATAATATCACTTTCGTGATAGGATGCCTTAAGTGTTGATTTATTTTGTACACCCATTTTAAGTGCTTTTCGTTAAGTGATGTTTGTTAAATTAATCCTGCATAGTGAACATGTCGTTAGTATGACATTCCTATGCATACAATACAACTGATGTAGAACAGGCTACGCTCCCACTGGTATAGACGTGTTTGCCCAATGCCCCTGATAAATTATGAAGGCCTTTTGTTTATTGTCCCAGAACAACCTAACTTTGCAGCCTTCGTCGCCATATCAGGCGGCCTTAGATACCGACTATATCAGCGGTCGTGGTACTTATGCTGTCTGATAAACAAGCAGTCCGTTAAGTAGCACCGGCGAACGTTTTTCTTCGTCGGCGACCGCGACCGTCAGTCCGACAGAGGCGTGCCCAGCTCGTCAGCAGTCGACCTGTCACTATCTCGGGGCAACTGACCTGACACCCCTAGAATGGCCTTAGAGCTAGCACCCTTGCGGTAACTACGGCGATATTGCTGAGCCCTGCGGACGCTACTGGCACCGTCCCTGCGTCATCGATCGCCCAAGACACTCCCGCTGTTGCTGCCTGACGCCGCCTCTGCCGCCGAGTGACGCTCCTCTCATGGTATCGGCAGTCGCCTCGCGCACTCGGCCGCGCCGGGATGTCGGTGCCCAGCGCTCCGCCACCGCTGCTGCTCGCCGCCGCCGCCGTGCTGGCGGTGTCGGGCCTGCTGGCCTGGCGGTACAGCAGGCGCCGCCACTGGGTGCCCGTCGGCACACTGTCGGCCATCAGGCTGTACCCGCTCAAGTCCGGGGCGGGCCTCCGGTGCCAGCACGCCCAGGTGACCGCCTTCGGGCTGCGCTCCGGCCCAAAGCTCGACCGCTGTCTGGCGGTGGTCTGCAACGACACCATCCTCTGCGCCATGTCCCGCCGCACGATCGTCCTGATCAAAGCCGACCTAGACGACGATTCCGTCACCCTGTCGGCGCCGACGATGACGCCGCTGCGCGTGCCGCTACCGACGGAGGGCAATTCTGTGGTGCATGGGGAGCAGTTCGGCACGCACAACGCCGGTCTGGACCTCGGCGAGCAGGCGAGCAAGTGGCTCAGTGACTACTTCGCCGACGGCAAGGCTTACACGCTGATGTATTTCCGGCACGGTTCGGTGCCGGCGCGTCGCACTGTCGACATACCGAGGCCGTACGCGCGCTTCGCGCAGCCGTCCGACGTAGCCGCCTTCCAGAACGTGACGGCACTCTCCGTGGTGTGTGAAGCGTCCGTAGACGAACTCAACTCGCGCATGGAGACGCCAGTGACGCTGGACAACTTTCGGATGAACCTGACTGTCGCCGGCGCCGCTCCCTTCGCCGATGACGACTGGGCATTTGTGCGCATCGGGACTGCCGTGATGCGACACATCAAGGCGGTCCAGCGGTGCCCCAACACCTGCGTGGACCCGCGCACTGGACAGCGCAGCCAACTCATGGAGCCGCTGCGCACGCTCCGCACGTTCCGCTTGGCCAAGACGAAGGAGGAGAAGGCGATGTACAAGGATTCGCCACTGCTGGGCAACGCTCTGGGAGTGGATGTCGAAGGCGATATTAATGTAGGGGATACTGTCTACGCGCTGATGAAATGAGAGCTGTGAGAGAGAACGCAGACTTGATGAGAATTGTGATCGAGCGATGACCGAAGTGTCCCTGTTAAATTGTTTATAACAATGCGATAAATCAGGACTGAACTTTCCTGTTAGATTGTTTATAACATTAGCAAATCATACGCGTGCTGCAGCGATGCTATTTGTAGGGGAGAGTGGGGCTAGTTGTTACAGGGGTAAGTTGTTACAAAGGAAATATCTTTAAGAATACTCTTGGTATGGCGCCAGTATTTACGCTAGCAGAAAGGTTACGCACATTTTACATGTCACTGCAGGCTCAGACCTGGTGGAACGCCATGTCGCCCTGTAGGCGCTCTGGGGTAAGTTGTGACAGCAAAAGTATTTTTTGCTGGCCAACACTTTGGGTCGTTTTTTGTCAAGGTTATTTGTGTAAGAATGTTGAATGTATGTTCACAAAATTAAGCGAGGATTTCTTATGTAAGATCACCAAGTAAAACGCACTAGCCTCTTCATGTAAACAAACATTTGAGTTCAGTATTGTGAAAGTCGGCCGCCGCAGGGCCGGGGCATGTTTAAAAATGGCTACCCAAGACTGCTTATAGCGTGCTCCATTTCACCTGGGCGTAAATTTCGTGCAGAAAATCAAACTCCGGTCAGTATGGCAATGCATGGTGCCCTTGGCGTCGCAGTAAAGGCAAATCAGAGATTGAGCCATGTTTGATGCAAGGCCATCTATAGATAGGTTTGATGAGCCTTTTCATGCGTGTGGGGTACAGTAATGGTTTATGCTTTATTGTTCTTGCCTTTCAATGAGAATGGAAAGCATGTTTAGTATTGTCCATTAGGGAGGCTTACGATCGGTTCCGATAGGACGGCCAATGACCGTTATAATGATGAAGAAACTACGAAAAAAGAAGTGTAACATGTTACCCCATATCGTGTATCAAGTTGCCCCACAATTTTTCAACTTACCCCAAAAATCTTGCTTTGGTTTCCTGAATTTCGAATAAAAGTGAATAGTCGTAAAGAAGTGAAAGTTTGCATGTGCTTTCCAAATTGATTCAGCTAGCATGTGACCAAATTTGGTGCAATTTCATTGAATAGCTTGGCCACTAAGTGCAGAAGACCAAAAAGTGTAACGCATAGCCCCGCTCTCCCCTACTTAATATAAGCCACAATTGAAATGTGGCAAATGACCAATTATTGGTGGTCTGTAAGCGGTGCAATACATTAATGAAATAAGCACTTCCATTGCTTACTCCTTTGCTTAATTTCACGCTTGGACGTTTTTAATTCGTCGAAAATCAGAACATAAGTTACAAGGTACGGTCATTGCCTTATATAAGAGTACGACAGCAGCCAGCTTCAAAAGCAGGCTTATAGCCTTTTGCCTCCACCGCCGCCGGATCAGCGAGTGTGAAGCCGGCTGCCGCCGTCCGCCGACTGAGCGGTAACAGGCTCCTCCCACAGAGTGTGACGACACACGGTGTGGGGACGGGTCCGGGTACGGGGAGGGTCCAACAGGGTTCAACAACCGCAGGCTGGTGATAGTGCTACCATCTGGTGAACGGTAGACGAGGTTCCTGCAGACGACCTTACGGTGGAGCTCCTGACAGGGACGTAACTCAACTTCAGACGTGGGTAGCAACGAAATGGTGACACAAAGGAAAAATTCCGTTACTTGACGAGAGAGCTGGGAACGTAGGCATTCAAGGGCTATGCATCACACCCAGGTCAGGCCAAAGGTCACTACACTTAGAGGCCACGGGATCGGGTACCGTCGTCCCTCCTACATAGTACGATAAAGGCGAATCATCGGTGGACGTTGACGTCTGCTTCCACAAACCGACAGAATAGCTTTGGATATGCGACACAATATCGCAGATATTTTGAGATACCTAAGAACGATTTGGAAGAGATACGCGTGGAGCTGTGGGGGAACCCAAGTAGATTCGAGCGTTATGGGTTAAATAAATGGTCTTAGTGACGCTGTTCAGTACACGCTGTATGACGAATTTGACCTTGAATGAATACTAGACATTAAAGATACATTTTGAGTGCATAAGTATCTGAAAATGCAGTGCTTAAGTATCGCTTCTCGGCCTTTTGGCTAAGATCAAAGTGTAGTATCTGTACGGAGCCTGGTCACCTCCAGGGCCGCCGCCCTTTGGGGGCGGGGGGCGGGTCATGGCCCCGGATATTTGCACACCGGTCTGAAACCACTAGGTCGGGATATATTTGCTCTTGGTTGGCTTACCTTTCTCAAACCCATGCCACCAACATGCACTTATATACACACCTCTGTTCTTATCAGCTTAATATCTGATACGTCCCCTACATGGGGACCAGAATATTAAACTGATTTTTGGACTTTGGCGGGGTTTTTGGAGCTTGCTCCAGCCCTGCCGCGGGTTGGCCTGGCATTGCACTACAGCCAGGATCGGCCCACTTAAACTCATGAGAATGGTCGGAGGAATCACAAAGGACAAATAAGATACAAAGATCAAGCATAATCCTGGTGATATAAAGTTTAGGAGATAGCGTCAGATACTCTGTAGATATACATTAGCTGTCTTTTTGTGAAGTATTCTTTCAAACTCTTCAATGGCCACGCATAGATCCACGGTTCCGAATATTGCACCTCATGGCATATCATTGGTTTTGGGTCTGTCTTTCGAAAGATGAAGTAAAAATATCGCAAATTTCGTGTTTGAGAAGATGTATACTATTTATGATTTTAGGGATAAAAATGGCAGGTGAAATATTGCAAACGCAAACTATATAGACATCCTTTTTTGTGCGCCTCATTTCAGAACCTCTTATCGGCACACTTGATCTCAAATAAGGGAGGATGGCAGATGAGAATCGTTCGATTTGGACTAACTAAAATAGCATTTGGACCATAGAGTTCTGCTGGACCAGGACCTCGGTATACAGAAGGCCTACGGTTTGACGTTGGGTCTACACAAAACATCAATTCATAAATAATTGGTAACTTAAAGGACAAACAAAGATATTATCTTGCAGAAGCATGAATCATGGATATTAATCATGGATATACATAGATCTTCGGGTTATGTGCGCTGCCCAGATTCTTTAAGTAATCATTGCACGGGCGCAGCAGTCGAGGCCCGGCAGCCGAGCGTCAAGAAAGCCTGGCGAAACTGAGGTGGTTTGCTTGGCTGTTACCGGGGCTCTAGGCGCCGTGACTACTGAGGAAACGTTTCAGGGGATCAGAGCAGAGAACTTCTTCATAGCGATAACCCCCTAATCTTGGTCGAGGAAGGGCCACATACCAGTGTCAGAACCAGTGTCACAAGCGGAATGCCTCTAGGATTAATTCTGGGACCCTTTTTTCCTGGTGCATGTACTTGACACATACCGTTTCGAATCTATGTCAAATCAGCTGCAGAGTTCAAGGTGTATGATACTGCCCACAGTATGAGAAAAGAAAATTTATTGATTTGATTGCTCTTGGAAGCTGGTCGTGAAGGTGTCCCCTGCTGGTCAAGGTACAGAGAAGAATGCCGTGTTCATTGCCTGTATTATAGTAGGCAAGCCTGAGTCGAAGTACGCCATTGCTAATGATCCAATTTCCTGATCGAAAGCGCGAAACCATCGCTTAGACTCCAATGAAGCAATTACCACCGAACGTTTGCATCTCTAGTAGAAAATAGCTCTCGCCCGTTAACCCCGCCCCTGATGACGCGCGGACCAGGTGGCGCTGCGTTCGCCATCTGCGCGTCTGTTCTGCCTCCCTTGGTCGAGGCCAGAATTATCGAGCGGCGTCGTACACCGACGACCTTGATCGATGCGGATAGGGCCGTGCTCTTAGTCTTAGGCCAGGAGGGAATAAAAGAAGAGTAGTCTATGTACGTATAGGGATATTGCCATCTGCAGTGTAACAGTGCTGTCTCCGTAGTCTGATTCAGGTGAGATGACCAACAGCTGGCCGCGTAAAGCTGTGCTGGTGTGATCCAAGTGTGATCGGTGCCCCACCTTCAAAGTATAAGATTTGTTGTGCTTTGTCAGCTGAGTGTTTGCTTTTATTGTAAATATTCTCGCGCCCAATCTTGTAACTTCTGTCAACTTCTGTCAACTTCTTTGGATAACAAAGTGTTGCTTTTTAATACCATAGCGAACTACAGTTGGTGTTAAATTTCCAGATAACCATGATTCTAACCCGGCTCGATTATTGATAATTAGTTGTCATTTGGTATATATTTTCCTTTATTACCATTGATTTTTAGTTCTTAAGGGGAATATACCACCTCTTTCAAATTAGCCTTTTTGCTACAGTTTAATCATTCAGGGGGGGTCATGCCCCCCGTCTAATGCCGGGTTCACACCGGATTCCGGACCGGCAAAATTCCGTCTGCCGGGCCGGAAAAATGGCCAATTCCGTGCCGGAAAATTGAAAACTGGTGTGAACCGGCAAATCTGGCAACTTCTTTTGACCGGTCCGGCAGGCCGGAGAGCCAGATTTTCCGGTCCGGCAAAAAGTTGAAATCATCTCAACTTTTGCCTTGCCGGATAGCCACCGTTTGTGATATGAAATTAAAGGAAAAGGGCCACCTTCGTGAAATATGAAGATATCGTTGTTTTTCATTTTGACATTATTATTTTTCATTTTCTTTTTAAAACTGGTGCCAGAAGTGCACAATTCGCGAAAAAGTATTTAAAACTATTTAACATATTGGTACTATGTTGATACTCTCTACGGCACCTACTGTATGATGGCATAGCGATGACGTCACACTCAAGCCAATCAGCGTTCAGAAGACAGACTCGTCGGATTGTGTCAGATAAGCTGATTGGTTAAAGCTGAGCTGGTTGGAGCTGATTGGTAAAAAACCAAAGCCTCGCCGCGGGTGGCTGTATTGTCGGATAAGAACGCATTCCTGGGATAAGGACGCATTCCTGGCGCAGGGTATATTGAATTAGGGGTAGGACCAAGTTTAGTAGGCATGATCTCAGCAATTATTTTGTTTTATATGGCGGTTTTTATTATCACAATATTA